TTTTGTTTCATCATTTTACAAAGTACTATAACCAGTGGTGATTAACACTGGGAATTTTGTGTGTCTGGCTATGTGTTGCTCAGAAAGAAACTAAATTTATAGGATTACCACTAAATTGATGACATTTTCTGTCTTCACTCTTGAATTCAGTTGGCAGATGTTTTCGAGAACAAAAAATTCTGTCTTATTACAAAACATATTAAGCAGGTTTTCCTGCCAGGCATGTCTGACATGATGTTTATTGCCTAGACCAAATCAATCCCCTTAATAAGCCATAATATATGCCAGAAAGTACATTATTTCATACTTAAGGAAAGTTGCCACATGAAACAGTAAGTACTTTGATCTCTCAAGCTCTGTTTCTAATGCATCAGAAATGTACTACATAATCCAATAGTTAGTCATATTTATTTATACTCATTAAGTACATAAAAAAACCTACACTTTGTTAATCTTAAAGTTTTAGACCTGGTTTCTAGTTTACTTCTGCCTGTCTATAATAGATATTTACAAAATTTGAAAGGAGATTTTGTCTTTTTAACAGATTCCAGAAAAAAAGGAAATGCAAATATTTAAATATACTGGGAAAATAAAATGGTTCCGAGATTAAACATTCATTGACTATAATATAAAAAAAAATTAAATTTGGTTGCTAAAACACTAAATAGAAATGACTCCAGTGGCCTTAGTAAGAAGAGAACAGGTACAGAGAAGATGGGATATTTATTAGCCTTCATCAATATTTTGAACATAACCCAAGTCAGAGCATCAAAAACATATTTTTTGAAAGAATGCTTCAGTTTATCAGTTGGCTGTTTCTGAACAATTGCAAAAATTCACATAAATGCTGAAAAAATCCATCAGAAAACTAGACACCAAATATCTCTCATGTTAAGGAGTAAGATTTTTGATGGATGTCAACAAGCAATCAAGCCATAAATATTTGAGTATCTTCAATGTGTAATGCCAGACTTTGCCAAGATTCTTATTCTGTAAATGTCTCCTCCACATTTGGACTTTTCCTTCTGTGGCCATGTAATTTCCTTCCCCCTTCTACTTGTAGCATTTTTTTTCCTTCAACCTTCTGGGTCTAATCTCTCTTCTTTACTTCCTATCACCATAGCCCACAATTAAGTCTCCTATGGAAGAGATATTTAAGCAATTCCAACTCGGTATTACACAGATCAGCATCAAGTCACTTTTGGCTAGATTCTATGTCTACTGTAAAGCACTTTATACTGTAAAGTGCTTTTAAGTGATCTTCCTTAGTCTGAGTACTTGTCCTCTTATGCTCCAGTTTGGTACCAGAATATCCCTCATTTCTATGCTGCAGGTCACATTATCCAGGTATCTCTAGACTAAGGCCTAGTCTTTTTGCTTTGGTCTCCCTGCAGGGTATTGGATTCTAATGAGTGGGTTTATTATCAGTTTCTGATTCCTCATGGTATGCTCTGTACTATCGAAAATATTAACTCATTTCTGTTTATTCTTAAGGAATGACCAATACAGCATGCTCAAGATCTACAATATTATGGCGAGTAGAAATGCATGAAAGATAAATATTAATAATATTACGAAACAAAAACACAAGAGATATCTCAGGACAGCAAATGATAAATTCCACATAAGTTAACCAGTCGCAGTGACTTCCATGAGTCAGAGTAAGTAATTACGGTGATATGAAAAGGTGAGATTTCAGTTGGGCACTACAACATGGATAGAATTTGGATGGAGGGAAAGAACAAGAAGCGAAGTTACATAGCACAAAGGTGTACAGCAAAGAACACGTATAGCAGCCTGGCTCTACTCTATGAGCAAGGGTACACAACAGAAATAGCAGTAGTCAGCATGAAACATTTCCGTTTTCACCCATTAACATACTACCTTGATGACAGAGTTTAAAAACAAACAAACAAACCATATCTCACTCTTATAGATTCAGATGCAAAGGTATAGATCAAGGTATTAAATAAATCTTGAGAAACTGACTTCTTATCATTAATTTTCGTAATGTTCTCTCAGCCACTGGAGTAGGTAGGGGACAAACACTGTAATTTTTGTTTGTTTTGGACTGTTTGAATGAGATTCCTCACAATCAAGTAGCATATTTTAATGATGCAGGACATATTAAAAAAAAAGTAGTAGCGTGGGATTTTAATCTTGGCTCCACCACCTTACTTACCAAATAAAAATTTATTATGAAGACTCTGTTCTGAGCTCTGGGGATATAATAGTGAGCAAAACAGACTAAGTCTCTGCCCTCATGAAGCTTATATTAAGAGCTATGTTATTCTGGGGAAATTACTAAGTTTTGACTCACAGTCTTCTCATATAAAATTGGATCAATATTAGTGATCCTATTAAGAGAGAATGTGTATATGTATATATACATAATGTAATACATTTGTGTGCACGTATTACTTGTTATAAATATGTATTATATATGAATTGTTCATAATTTATTAAATAACTATTATTTAATATCTATTAACTGATAAAAATCTATTAATCATCAGATGTCACTTATATCATGCTTTTATAAGAATTGTTTTAATTTTCATATTTCATGTATATATTTTGTTTCCAACTGTAGAACAACATGGTAAAAAGCAAATGGAGAAAGAACCTACAATTAGAAGTCCTAGTTTCAACACTTAGTTCCACCATTTACTAGTTATCTGCTCTCTTAGACAAAAATGAGCCACCTGTGCATCAGTTAGTTTCCTTACCTATAAAATAAGGATAAAACTATTTGATCTACTTACCTCATGGGATTGTTCCAAAGACCAGATGATCAACTTCAAAATGTAAATAGTTAAGAAGTATAGAAATTTATGCTAATTTATCCCCATCACATATGATGCTCTGTGTCTGAAAATTACAAACACTTTTTGGAGACATGTTTTGAAAAGGAGAGTACAAGAAGTCACTTCTTTAGTGGATCAAAACTACCTAAGAATTAAGGCATCTTACACAACATGAATCATTCTTCTCTTTCTCCACCACAGGATCACACCTTACTATCTAGAACTATGTCTGAAGAGTACCAGCTTAACTCTGCTATTTTGCACAATTCTAGATTTTAAGAGAAAGGGTATTTATTAAGGAAAAATGACATTCATACTAAGACTATCAGGTATACAGATGTATCATCTAAAAGTGTCTGTTTTTGCTTTAAGTGCTTTCAATGGGAACTGAGACTGATGAGTGAAATGGGACGAGAAAGAAAGAAGCAAAAAGACATGATAAGGAAAGAAGCAGAAATGGCAGGAGTGTAAAAGAGATAGCAGAATTAAAGAAAAAAGACAAAGGGAAAGAGAGATCATAAAAATGAAGCAAAATAAAAAGATTTTTCTCCCTTGATATAAGAAGAAAAACAGAGGCAGAGATAAATGAAACAGATTTGAAAACACAAAAAAGAAAATGCACACATACAAGGAACAAAAGCAAAATACCCACGCAGTGGTGACAAGAGAAAATAGAAAAGGAGATATAAAACCTACAAGACAGATGTCAGAAATAAATCCATATTCTACATATATCATAGGCAAATAAACCAAACTTTAAGAAGAACAATACATAAAATCACTTTTTGTTTACATTTTACATAAGCACATGAATTTTCTTAATGATGTGTATATTTCAAAAGCTTTTACAATTCATTTTCAAAATCTGGATATCAGAATTTTTTTTAACTGTCCTAAGAATGGTAGTTGACAGACTGGATCATATAATTAGAAAGCTTAGGATAATCGATAAAGAAGGTGACACCATGACACCTATGCAGCCATACAAAAGAAAAACGGTAATATACCTACATTAGAACAAGCAAGCTACTTATTGATTCCAATGTAATCACTGTTTTTGTTTTTCAAAAAATATATTACATAGTGAGATGCTTTTCAGAAATTTAAATACTGCAATCTGACTAACTTTAGCTTGAGTCACTGTATGATGAGCTTTGGGTATTCTCGGTCTGGATACCTCTTTGGGTCATGAGGATTTACATGCTGCTTTCGTACTGTTTAACTACCCTAACTTACTCAACAAACCGACCTAGAGTCTTGAAAGTTTGGAGTGTAATTCCCAATAGTATAGGGATTATGCAATGAATGAGAATGAAGAAAATAACTCAGAAAGTTACGTATTCCCCTCAAAGATGGTATGAAATATTTTATTAGTAAACTTTTTTTAAAGGAAGTGTACAAATAGTTCAAACTGATTAATTTGAAACTATTACTATCCTACAATATAATTTATAAAGAGTTAATCTGTCTATGCTTAAATGTTCTGAATTGCTCACTTTTAAAGAACATATCAATTTACTATTTTACTTACCTAGTAGCATTTTTGACACGCTTTACTATTAAATTCTATTTATAGGACCCATAATAAGGGCTTTGAAAATTGCATAAATATGTCTCATATATACAATACACAGTATGTATATCAAGCAGAATGTGTCAAAGTTCAAATAAAATTGTTTGTGCCCCCTACGAATTAGAACTCCTTGGGCAGCATTGCTGTAACGATCCCATGCTGCTAGCATTACAAAGTGCAAAGGTTCACTGGGTAAGAAAAGAGCAAAGGAGAGAGTTCCCTCATTACACTATCCCTAAACTATTCTAGTTTAAATATTTATTAAGATATTAATTACTCTTCCTCCCTCCATCTGCCTTCGGAAGTTAAGCTGAAACACTGTGGATGGATGGCTGCTCATAGGAAAAGAATGCATTAAAACTATCACCACCCAAGATGAAGACCAATGTTTTGTATGGTGCATTCGTAATTGCTTTTGAAACTTAAGTATCACACTGAAATAAGGACATATTTTGTAATTCTGAATAAAAAAAAATTTCATCCAAGTAACAACCATGGGATATGAATGGCTGAAAATTAAAGAATTAAGTTTCTTTTAAAAAAATAAAATAATAACTATGAAATACAATACAAATAAAGTAAAAGAAATAGTGAAGGAGACTAATAATCTTATTACTTACTCTGATATACAACTGCATCATCTCTTTTTCCCTTTGGGGGTTACGATACTTTTCATAGAAATCACGTCGCTTCTTTGTTTCTTTAGAGACTTTATCTTTTCTTTCCCGTTTTTCTGCTGGTTCATCTGAACTATCAGAAGATGACTGTACATGGATCTTCGGCTTTTCTACTTCAATATAGTTTTCATTGGGATTCAGTACTATTACTCCATATCCCTCCTGTTTTGAAAGCAAAGAAGGCAGCATAATTTAATCTTAGAAACCATCTCAATTCATAAAAAAATCTGCAAAATTCCACAGTAAGTGATTTAATATAGTTGCATAGTCACTAAAGTATTCCTTTATAAAAGACTATAGTTCTACTTTTTCCAACAAAAAGTTATTTAAAATTGTTTGCCTGCACTGTTTGTGTAAATAGATTATTTGTAAGAATAAAAAGACAAAATTGTAACACAAAGGTTGCCAAGGTTATATTTTTTTATAAAGTACTTCAGATCTCTCAGAACCCCCCAAATAATTGAAATAAATTAACAAATAACAAGTACACTTTCAAACCACATCAATATTTAAATACCTATTTTGAGAAAACAGCCTCTTTGAAGCTGAAGTTAAAATTCCACACCCTATTTTGCTGGATTCTCTTTCCTTTACAATTGCACTTTAATGAGCATTTTTTATTTGTCTGAATTCCAGAAAGAATAAGCAATTAAGGAATAAATGTGACCTAACATTCTACAGATTTACATATCTATAATATCAGAAACATAATAATCAACCTGTGCAGTTGATATATTTTCCACCTTTCTTTCAGGAGGCCACACAAATCATAAAACAAAATAATGTCCTACTATAAGGCATGGGAGCAATTATTTAATCCTAAAATTCTTTCATTTTTAACTACCATAAAAATTTCTCTATATTGGGGACCAGTACTAGGAAATAAGTCCCAAAGTCTGAAATACAGCTTACTGAGCTATTATACCTTCTCTAAAGTTTTAAAATATATTTTCCTGTCTGACAATTCTAGCAAGGCAAACATTTCTATGGTTACAACTAGGAAAACTTTTGGTATTTATATTAAGTTATAGCTGATGGAATAATCAAACCGCGAGAAATTAGAAAAGAATAAACAATTTCCACTGACAAGCATGTGCAACATAAATTTGTGAAGCTATTAATATCTTGTATTTTCTATTCACTTCTGTACTGTGGGTGTCCCAATTTTGCCTTGTAAAATCCTGTAAGGTCATATTTTAAAAGTGTACTACATTACAATAAAAACACATAAGAGCTATAGAAAATAAAGCTTGAAAAATATCATTCTTACTGAAAAAGAAAACTCAATACTTTTTCCAAAAGTATAACTGTAGAACTAATTCAAGTTTAAAATTTGTTCTTTGCCAAATCAACCATAATAAGATGATATTTTAAAAAGTGACTGCAGTAATAATAGAGTAATATTAGCATTGACTCAATTATCTTATTTTTAAGTATGCTACACTGCTGCATGTAGTTGTTTTTTTTAATGGTCGATTTCACAATCTACATAAAAACTTCATTGGGATTTTTCAAGTTTTGCCCCCCAGTTGATATTATTATCTAAAACTATGATATGGTTTGCAGATTGTGAAGTTCATTAAAGTTGTGATTTTAGTGATAGTACTGTTAATTAAGATATAGTTGTCTTGCACACATGAAAACTATATAATGCCAAACTGATTAAAAAAATACCATATATTCTTTAATACATGTTCAAATAAAACTTTTAAACAAATACCTATTTTATGAGAAGTTATAAAATATTTTACAAACTTAAAAATTTAATGTTCTACATCAAAGCATAAGATAAAGGGTTTTTTTTTTGGTTTCTCTTTTTAAGTATCTTAGCTGGTAAGTCAAAGTTTTACCAACAAAAGATATTTTATTTGGTCCTGCTTTATTCTAATCTGTATAGCTATTCAAAAGTCTTGTAATTCATTGTGATCACTGTCAGGTAGACAGATTGTCACTTGGTGATTTTCTACAGTTGGACACACTTGGCTAGTTATTAAAATCACATTTGAAGGAAGTTCCTACCCGTCTTCCTTGTGCCTTTTACAACTTTTCACGCCCTTCTCAAATTTCAGCTATAACTTCTCCTCCCACCAAAAGTTAAGTTAAAGAACACTGTTGCACTCTGCTAAACAGGGTGAAATAGAGGCATTCATACACTGTCTCTGGTGTAAGGAACATAGTCAAAAAAGGTCACCATAGGCCAAAAAGAAAATTGCCTCCTTACTAGATTCTGTACCATGAGTAAGTGGTCTCCTGTCATGTTTCTTCCCTGCCTTCTCTGAGTGAATTGAACTTTAAACACACACACACACACACACACACACACACACGCACACACACACACGCATACACAGTCTCTCATACTCACACATGAATTAGAAGTAGCAAACCCAAAACAGGATCTTAGAATTCTTAGAGATGAAAATAGTGATATTCTACATTTTAATGATATTATGAAAAACATCAAACTCAATGTAACAAAGTGGGACTTTAATAAATTGATAGAATATGAGCATCACCTTTGCACCATAAAGGAATTCCAAATAAAGGTAAACACTTTAGACAAAGTTTATAGCCACTAGAATTACAAAACTTTTGGCCTAATTTTTAACTTAATCACTAGATACAGTATTTCTCATAATACCACGTTTACTTAAGCAGAAGTTTTTACTTCAATTTTTGGAAATCACTGATTGAAAAATTACTGCACCTACTTGATTTTAAATGGAGTCTGAAATTTGATGTGTCCTATCTAAATAAGTATAGAAAGCAGACAAACATAAATCATCAAAGAAGTAGTATTTGTCTAAGTTATTGATTATGTAACTGAAAATTACATGACTCATTTGTCCAATTTTATAAAGACACAATATCAATTTTTCACCAAGGCATCAACTAATGAAAAATGATTCTATTTTTAAATCACCACTACAAAAATCAATTAAAGAATTTTAGCATTTAGATTTCAACAATGAATGCTGTTCTTTAAATACCTGAATTATTTAGAAAATATTTTATCATTTAGATATTTCATACTGCTAATTTAATTAATGGAATAACAAGAAATATTCAGGAACATTTCCTGCAGAAATGAGAGCTAATTTTAATAAATGTCTTTGTTACAAATCAATTACCATTCTGTGAAAAACTTACATTTTTCAATTAAAATTTTCCTGATAAATTAATTAATGCGATATTCACAGAGACCATTAATAACCACTTTATAATGAGGAAGAGAAAACTGGAGAAACAAAATAAAGTCAACTATCCCACTTATATATGCTCTAACTACAGATATTAGTAAAACTTTGTCTTTTCCTCCTTTTCTCTGTCACATACAAATATTGTCCAAAAATTCCTTTATGTAATAAAGCTAAAAAGATTTTTGCCATGTTAATATTAATACATGGAAACCAAGGTATCAAAGTAAATAGTCAAAGTAAAACAAGAGATAACATACCAATAGCTAAATTTAACCATTTGAAACCATTGAAGAAACCATCTTAAAAAATCAAAATAAATCCATTTTAAAAATTAATTCTCTCTATTCCCAATAACTCAATCGATACACAAAGAAATAGAAAGAGATCCTAGTTTGACCTTTAACAAGTGTACCCATAAAGTTTTACAAAACTTTATAAAACCAGGCATCAGATGTAGTATCATAAAAGAACCGTGCATTGCCACTCTAATGAGGCCTCCATAACTAATGCTTATAACCTTAAACATTTTATATGGAAGTATTCTTTTCATATTTAATCATTCATGCTAAATTTCTCATAAGATGAAAAGGCAGGTAATTTTAAACATACACAGAAACTTCTGTTATCTTTAAGAAGACAAAATGATCAAACTGATTACCTAACATTCTACGACTAAATAAATAAAACTTCTGGCATCCTGATTAATGATTTACCCAAGTCAATTCCAATATCCAACATTTCAAGAGACAAAGTATATATAAAGTTGTTAATTAACTCTTATGTTTGAGTGCACAGTCTAGCAGAAGATCAAGAAAGTGATCAAGAGGCTAATCTCTTTCACTTATCTCATTCCATTTTCTATCCTTTGTAGCTGTAACTGTAGTTTCATTTTCAGAACTGGGTTTATAAGGTCTAAAGCATGGAATCTTAATCAGAAACCCTCAAAATTTTATTGCTAGACATAGCAGTTTATTCAGCACAACGGCTCACTGTGATTTAAAGAGAATGCACAGGACTGCAGGCCTCCTTTACTTTGAAGTCTGTCGATGCACTTACTAATAAATAATAGTTCATTTATCATTCAATCAACAAATGATGGCTTAGGTCAGAGGTCTAAAACAGATAGGTGATGCCAAACACAAAGAACCAAAGAGGAAATCTTGCTTAAGAGATTAAATCAGTACAGAAATGTACTTGTCAAGAAGATTCTACAAATAGATAAAATGTTTCAATGTCTGACCAAAGCCAGAATGTATTTTGATCCCAATGAAATCTTGCTAAAATTGTAGACTAATCCAAGTTAATTTGCCTATTAAATACCAGTTATAAGGAAAATAGAAAATAGGAGAAAATTCTACATCTTTTCAAATCTCTTGTGGTTGGCTAAATAAAAAATCAGGTGAAAGTACTCAGCTCTGCATATTAACCTGCCAATACTATAAGCCACGTGTGACCAAAGAGGTCAGGGGCCAGAGTAGAATCCTCTGACCTATGGAACTGTCTGTTTTGGTCTTCAGGCAAAGCTCAGTAAAAGATCATTTTACACAGATTTATCAATCATATTTTCCAAGTTCAGCATTCTATCTGTTTGGTTTGAAAGAAGAAAGGTGCTCATCCTCAAAGGAAATGAAACCCAAAGCAATTCACCTATAAGCTACATCTACTCATGGTTAAAATGAACAAACCACTGTCCATTCATCTTTTCTGAAAGATGTATGTTGTGTTTATTCTCATCTTTTTCACAACAAGGGTATGTCTATGTCACTGTTCCAACAGCCTAGGTGCAACAGTGAGATGAGGTCATGACAACCAATCAGAAGTCACTAGTGAAGCGTTAAAGTAAACATAGCTGTTGGAGCTGCAGCTCTGCTTGAAAAATGCCCCCTCCATTATTTCAGCAATTTTCTCAAGACGTGACCTGGGACTGAAACGCCTAAAATGTCACTTGACTCCATTTTCTGC